GTGGATTCATGAGAAAAAAAATCTTGGATAAAGGAACTCTTTGCTTCTCTAAAGGCTGCGAGTATCATTGTTGTGTGGAATTTCTCTCTAGGGCCTCTAATAAGAAAAATGAAAAGATAAAGCCATGAGGTTGGTTTTACAGTTAAGTCATAATTTACCTGCATGATGTTTTATTTGACATAAAGTTAGAGAATCTCACTGACTGTTGCATCACTTACAACTCCATCCATTCTGGCTTTATTTTGGTCCAAGATCCTGTTCACTTGGTATACAGATACCTTAGCCCAAATGCATTAATTAGATAAAGGACTTCAAATATAGGTCCGTACCTCTCCTGGCAACTGTGATTTTCTTATATTTGTAAAACTTGAAATTGTTGAGTTTTAATTTTATGTTCTAAAGTAGCAAGCACTAGAAGTTAAATCTAGTGTACCTTCGTATTCATTTTATGTGAAGTCCTTTTCATGATCTGTTGATGAGTTTCTTTCAAATTGTCATGAGGTTTATTTGCGATTTGATACCTGGTAGGATTCTTCTTGAAGGAGATATGTTCTTAGTTAATTTGTTAATCATGGGTATTCGTCAACTGATCATCTTTTCCCTCAGTTGGTTATGGAATAGCCAATTATGAAATTGTTAAAACAAGATGTCAAGATCTACACATTTTAAAATATCCCCCAGATCTCTAGAAGATAAAGAGAATATGAATTTGCAAGTTGGATGTCTGTACTTAGTCGTCGGTCATCTGAGGTCTTAATAAATAGAAGGCTTAGTGATACTAATATGTTTGGACCCAAAAGGTCCAAAGGTTAGCTCGAGTTAAACCTAAATCTACAGACAGTTCCTTTTTACAGCTAATTCTTAACTTTCATCGCGTTCAGGATATTTAAGTGATTTTCTGGTTATGTTTCCGTTTTTCTTTGGCTATATATCAAGTTTTTTTTTTCTTGTTGGTTGCTTGATGATGTTATTCCTCACCTTAAGTACTTTTTAGTTAATTCATAGATTGCTCAGAGGCTGGGGAAGCTACGAAAGAGAGGATGGAGACCTCGGCGGACCATTGTCTTTTGTAATTGGGATGCAGAAGAATATGGCTTGGTTGTTCTCTCTCTTTCTCACTCGCTCTCTCTCTAAATCTATATATTTACCACTCTGTCTGTTTCTGTGTGTGCAATGTGCAATTTTATATTCCTCAAATCCATACTATTGCAGATTGGATCAACAGAATGGGTTGAAGAGAACAAGGAAATGCTAGCTTCAAGAGCTATTGCTTATTTGAATGTTGACTGTGCAGCCGGAGGTCCTGGATTCCATGCATCTACAACACCGCAGCTTGATGAAATAATTAAACAAGCAACTAAAAAGGTTTCTGACTGTCCTTTCATTAAATTTACTGCAGCAAGATTCAACTATAGCAGTAATGGACCACAAAAAGAAAGCTGGATATAGAATACTAGATGTAGGAATAACCTCATTTGGATACTATTGAGTGGCAGTTCTATTAACAAGATACAGAAAATTGTAGGCGTGGAAAGTGAAAGGGTATGAAAAAAGATTACAGATTACTTGCATTTATTTATCAACTATTCATGTAAAATATCATTACTTTCCTGAACGTTTTCACTTGTTAACCTCTTGTATAGGTTCAAGACCCAGATAATTTCTCTCAGATGGTATATGATTCATGGGTTAACTCCAATGATTCTAAGCTCGTAAGTTGCTAAGTTTTCTATATAATTTAAACATTTAAACATAAAAGTAATATTATATTGTAAAAGTTACTCTTGTTCCAAACTATTTCTTGTTTTCCACTTGTACCTTGAGGAAAGTAGGATGTTCTGATTTTTGCCTGGATAATGATGGATTTGGTGTATGATAGCTTTTTCTCACCTCAGCTTGAATGGTTAAGCATGAAATTATTGGCCAAATGAGTGACCGCTGAATTTTCATGAAGATTGGGAGATTAGGTGGTAGAGGAACAGACTTTGCAGCATTCGTCCAACATGTTGGAGTTCCTTCTATAGACATGTTTTTTGGAGGAGGTATTCTCATCTCCTTTGATGCCAAAGTTCTTTTGTGCTATTACTTCCTTTGCACTGACTGAGTTTTCTAGTTTGCTTAAACCAAATAGTTGTAGAAGATATTTCTCAATATACCAATATATGCATGCCTACTTAGAAAACATTATTTTCTTTTCCCTTGTGTCTAGTTTTGGCAGATATGTTGCTGTTGTTCTTTCTTTTTTTATACTGTGGGTAGGTAGAAGGGGGATGTGGAAGGGGCTGAATGCTTCATTAGCATAGTTTGCACACATCTCAGTAAGATATTTGGTTTTGTGAGAACACTAAATGTCTTATTTAGTTATTCTTTTTTTCCCTGGGCTCTTTGATGCTCTTTCCTACTTTGAACCCATGATCCCATTTTCTTTAAAGTGTTAGGAGTATTTCATACTTATTATTTTTATTTTATAGCATGACTTATTATCCCCGGTCTTAGAAGGGCTGGATCTTTTATCTAATAACAACCTTTTTTGGGGGCTTCTTTCTAATTTTATCTAAGGAATTTGTGTTTTTTTTTACAGGATACCCAGTCTACCATTCATTGTATGATGATTTTGTATGGATGCAGAAATTTGGAGACCCTTTATTCCATAGACAAGTGGCAGGTACTGCTACTACATGCAATTTATTTTAGCACATATCATGTTGCTAAAAATAGAAAGTAAGGTGTTTGATGCCTTAGCCTCGTATGCAAGGAATCTATAGCAGTAGCATCATCCTTGTTTGTATCTTTTGGGATACTTGTTTAGACCGGTCATTTTCTGTGATAATCCCAATGGATTCTGTCCAAACAGATTAGGTGCTCGTATAATGACTACCGATCTTATTGAGGTTGACTTTCAATCTCCATTGCACTACAATCAAACATTAAACTCTACTATCAATGTACTTTCCTAAATGATTTCAGAAGGCTAAACTGTTATACACTGGGGACCATGAAGCTGCCAATCCTGCAAGTTAACTAATGTCTATCCTTGCAGAATTGTGGATGATGATAGTTTTGTCTTATTTTGTACTCATCCTACATCTGATGGAAATTGGAACATCTGCATAAATTATAAAACGTAGCACTTATACTATGTGACTGATCTTTGAAACACTGTATAGCTTTGGCAACTCGATACCTATACCTAGAGCTTGTTTATGCGGTCATATTTTGAGTTAAGCTAATAGTAGCTTCTTGGATACTATTATTTCTTCTTTCTCATGCAGTGGCTAGCATCTGGGGTCTTGTTGCTTTGAGGCTTGCAGATGATGAGTTCTTGCCTTTTAATTACATTTCCTATGCTCTTGAGCTCCAGGTACATATTCAATTCTTCAAGGGACTGTATTACTAGGAAACATTCACATGCATCATGGTATACATATAATTTAGGTGAGTGCATGCAGAGGATGCCAAACTTATGACGAAGCACGACAAGATTGCTGGGGAACTTTCTTTTATTTGTTCTGTGCTGCCTTGATGAGTACATATGATTCTGTTGATCCCTGTATGATTATCATTAAGTGATGTATTAGCTTTTGCATGGCCGTGTGGATAAATATTTTCTCATGCATAATAAGTAGGTCCGAAATCTAATGTGTTCTACAATTACAGGGAAGCACAAAGACACTAGAAGACAGGGCACTGGGGATGCCTGTTACTTTCACTCCATTGTACAGGTCAATAGAGGAATTGGAGAAGGCAGCTACTAATATAGACAAAGAGAAAAAGGTATCTCCAGTGATTTGTTGCAGATAATTAAAGTAAGATATTGTTCATCGACACTGAAGCATAACAATTTTAGGCACTTGAACTGGAAGTCGGATTAGTAGGACGCAGAAAGGATCTGCTGAAAGTTCGAGAACTCAATGACAGGCTGATGATGGCCGAACGGGCATTTACAGATCGGGAGGGGCTCTTTCACAGAGAATGGTACAAGCATTTGGTATGTTTCTGCTTTTAATCCCGTCTCTGATCTTATCCTTGCAAACAACTCGATGTTATACTCGGCTAACGACACTTTTGACTGTTCAACAGATTTATGGACCTTCATTGCATGACGATTATGGATCAAATTCATTTCCTGGGATCGATGATGCAATCGAGAAGGCTAAGAGTTTGAACACTTCAGATTCATGGCGTTTTGTGCAGCATGAAGTGTGGAGGGCTGCCAGGGTTGTCACCCAGGCATCCCTAGTCCTTCATGGAAAATTCACGTGAATCTCCGTGTTGTCATTCTATAATTTCCTATATATGCCAAGAAAATGTTCAATCCAGTTATATCTGATAGCCAATACTAAAGACAAGAAAGGCCACAAAAATTAATGCTAGTGATAGGTGGAAATTAAGTACTACAGTGCTTTAGTTGGATCTGATCATTCAACAATGTGCAAAATATCCATTTCTTGTCGGTGGTGATGATGTTGTTATATATATATATATATATATATATATATATATATATATAAGGATGACTTAAAAAAAAATTCTTGAGTGAGAATTTTTTTGCAAAACATCGATCATGAAAAAAGATCATTTTATTTTTACCTTTATCAAATCTATTGTTGCCACCTCTGTCGATAACTCTTATGTTTGAGCATGTCCCTTTGCCGGACTTAAAGACGAAGGTATAGTGGTCCTTGTAGGACTCCACTAAGTCCTACATTGGAGGCATAGCCTTTGCGATCGTCATCGTCTCTTATGGCCTCAGAGGGGTCGCTAGCCTTGTTCGTAGCTTTTGTTATTGATCGTAGAGGGGTCGTGCCTCCTTCGTTGGTCCAACGGGTCCTATATAGGTCGAGCGAGCGAAGAGCGATGGTCGACAATAGAATTATCATTGAAAAAAAAATTTTGTTTAACTTTTTCAAAGTTGATGTGCTATCTAAAAAAATTTCAAATTTAGAATATTTTATTTTTAGAATTTGCCCTATATAAAATGCACACAATTCAAACGATTGTAATCTGAAAATAATTCATAGAAAGCACTGATGCAACATAAAACATAAAACATGCTCAAAACATGAGCATAGTCTCTAATTATAGACAAAACTGAAGAGCAAGAATGACTGCTGCAGAGCATTATGTACTTCACTCGTTTAACATCACAAACACCAAAAGAAGCATAGAAGAACGTATCATCCATAAACAAATGAAAGAATTACGGGTAAAGCAGAAGCCAACGCTGCTCCCCCTGTGATCAAAACAAGTCTCTGGTCATCACTTCACAGGACGAGAGTCAACTCCGATGAAGTCCTCAAAGGCTGTAATCTTGCTGGTCCTGGCACAGCTCCTTCCTTAGCTTCTGTGAGAACAGCTGACAGGCATCCATGCTGAGATCAATAGCGGCAGATAGCGCTATGAACAGGGCCACGTCGGCCATGCATGAGACGTGCTGCACGCCCACCTGCACCGACGGCTTGCTTGCCTTCCCCTCCCCTTCGACCGTGGATCCCATCACGAACCCTCCGTCGAACGGCCATTGGCCGGCCACCATGTCCCCGATCACGCTGGGATCGATGCAGAACTGGCCACCTTTGCGGACGCTGAGGGAGGACTCGGCGATGGGCACGCCGCCGATGTGTCCGGTGTCCGGCACGAGCTCGAACCGGTAGCCCAGGGCATCGACGGGCCCTCGTTCTCGCCATGCCTCGAGGCGGCCCCATGGCTTCCAGTTGGTGGCGGCGGAGGTTGAGCCGCCGATGGGCCGGAGGATGAGCCACGCTCCGGGGTTGGACCTCGAGACGCGGTCGGAGCCGGGGGACGGGACGAAGGGCGTCACCATGGACGCGGCAGCCACCGGAGAGCCCGACAGGTCATGTATCGTCACGGTCCAGCCTTTGCGCTGCTCCCTTCTTTGGTGGTCCCTTTCTCCCCCCAAGGAACTAAACCAGCTTCTGATGCTATTGCTGCGGGAGCCATCAGATGCCAGCGATCTGTGCGTGCATCACACAGTTCAGGATGAAACCATGTCAGTCTCCAGAGGCGTAGCTAAAAGATTCAGATCTTGAAAGCATTAATATACAGCGGCACGAGGGACTGCAGCATCGCACACAATACTACTGTATCTCTAATCTGCAGGCACTCATCCAAAGAACTCGTAGGGAGACCAAACGATCTCATGGAATCTTACAGCATATATTGAGGCAGTACAAAAGCGAAAACACACAAGATTATATTTTGATATTGATAGCCAGGCATGGTTCTTATTATTCTTTCTGAAAAGTAAAAGAAAAGCAGTAAATGACACAGCCTTCCCTCGATGATCAAAGCTTTTCTAACCAAGCAAGCAAAGGTTGATTTAGGAAGACAGAGTTCCAAGTCTCGGCAACAGCTAGCAGCAGATGCAGTGCGGAGGGATGAATTAGAAATCAAGCGTATGTCTCAACTTTTCCCCCATCAACCACTAAATATTTGCAAATCCTACCTTTTTATTATGAGGATTATTCCCCGTAAATAAATATTTATTTAAAATATGAGAAGAAAAAGAGAGGGGAGAAAAAGTAACGCCACTCACGAGGACATGGATCTGGAGTTCCGCCGGCGGTCGACGGTGAAGCGGCAACTGAAGACCGGCTGCCGAATACACCTGCTGCGGTTGCCGCCGCAGTTCCCCTGGATCTGATACACCACCGGGCTGCACTCCGGCTCGCCGCCGAAATGGAACACGAAGCGGGGGTCGGGCTCGGACCGGACCACCAGGTGAAGCCTTGCCGCCGACCGCCCAGCGCCCACGCTCACCCACCCGTTCTGCGCCACCGTGGGCCTCGTCGGCGCCACCTCCAGGTCCATCGCCACCCGCACCCGCCCCAGAAGCCGCCCCGAGCTGAACCCGCACGTGCTCCCCGTCCGGCCCATGTAGACCGACACCACCAGGCTCGCCCGCTTGCCCGAGAGCCGCTGCAGCGTGGGCGGGTCGAGGCTGATGACCACCGAGGCGGGAGGGCCGGCGGGGACGGGCGCCTCCATCAGGTTGGTCGTCGAGTTGGGATCGGCGGCGACGGGGAGCGGGGTGGTGTGGGGCGAGGAGGCGCAGTCCTGGAGGTGCAGAGAGCAGAAGCAGGGGGTGGTCGAGGGGTGCACGCCCGGCCCTGCCGGCTTCGATATGGCCGGCAGTTTCAGCACGAGGGATTCGATGATAAGCCGCACGAAGGGACACGGATCCATCTCTTCCACCTTCCTCTCCTACTCTGACTGCCCTCGGCGTCGGAGTCCCGTCGTTTCATGAGCAGTTCGCCGCTGTCAGAAGCAGGTCTGTTCTCTTTACTCGGATTATATAGACGAGGGTCCTCCATTTCGAATATTGCAATCACTTCCCTTCATTGGCAGTCGGTCCCACTCAAGCGTGCGGTCCAGATTTGAAGGGCCGAGGTGGGGTCGGTGATGAGGAGGTCGGGGAAAACAATGGTCGCGATCTTTTCAGGTGCGCTGGGCCCCGCGGATCGGTGGACGAGGGTGGGCCCCTGGCAGTCGGTCGTTGGAACGGCCACCGGAAGCATGCAGTTGGTCGAGTTCTAATGATCGCTTGCCGCGCCGCGCCCATGACAGCTATAATTGTTGAGATGCGCAATGATGGGATTAATCTACTTTCATGATATCTTATTATGCAGATTAAAAGGCATGATTACATAAAATACATAAAAATGTCAAATCAATGTACCGAAATTTATGAAAATGCAATTCTTTTCCTTTGGCATTAATGTTAAAACTCATATGCTTTTTTTCTTTAATTAATTTAATTTATAATTTTAATTTTTTTTATTAATTTATCTTTTTTTTAAATATCTTTAGTGGTTATCCTTTTTCATCATTGTTATTTCACTATAATCTGAATTCTTTTTAGTTTGGTTTTAAAATTTTCTTTAAAAATGTTTTATCTTTACCATAATTATTTATAAAATTAAAATTTTACATATAATTCGAAAATTATCATTTAATGCGTCAAAGAAAGGTAGAGAGACATAGAAAAACTTTATTAAAAACTATTATTAAAAATTTAATTTTTTTTTTATTTAATTAATAATGATAAAAAGATTCATGGAATCTATCTTAAATAGGTAGAATAATACCAACGATTTTATTATTGTCATTATAGTAATATAAATAGTATGTGTCACTTACCATATAGGCATATTTTTCATGATAATTTTATATCAACCCAAGATATGATTGAATTAACATTTTTATTTATATCAACCGAGCTCGTGACTAATTTAGGTTTGGAGAAACCTCAACAGAGATTGGAAAGGCCGTCAAAATCCAGTGGTCAATCCAGTCATCGGTGAGGGATCTAATCACCATCACCACGGGCTGCCACCAACCCGCATTGTATCTCCCAAGTTCTGGCAGTGAGATGGTGCATGAAACACTGGTCATATGGCTTTAATGTCACTGGCTGTTGCTCACTATTTCTCCGTAAAAGTTCATGCCATGATTGGATTACAAAGAGCGGAGTGGACTCTGTTGTGGACAGTTTATCCAGCAATCATGTTGATGACAAGACTAATTTACGGATGAGAAAGAAAAGAGAGCGAGAGAGAGAGAGAAAGAGGAAAGGTAGGAATATGACAGGGTGGGAGGATTAGATAAGGCAAGGCTGGATGTGGTGGGTGAGAGATGCTGTGTTTGGGACCCCAACACAGCTGGAAACTGGCTGTGTTCGACGCCTTTCCATGTGAGCGTCGCCACATAACGACACAGCCCTCATTGAAGCCGGACAGGGAAAGGCCGCGGCTGCCCCGCCGTCGCCATCGAGGAGTACAACGCACGCCGGCATCATTCGTGTCCTCCTCCTCCCCTTTTGCTTAACGGGGATTGCGGCGGCGTGAGATGGCAGACGGCATCATCGGGGGCTTTCTTCCTCGCTTTCTTTTCCTTCGTCTCCCTGGCGTGGCGTTGGGACTGCAGCAACGATGTGTATGGGATGGAGAGTCACGGGATCCGACGGATGATTGCAGACCTCCTCTGAGCTACCACTCCCGACCCATCACGTGTAGTGTTCGTAGGTGCAGAGGAGGTCAGATACGGAGAATTGACGGCGATTTGTGTCCACTGGATTCATTGTGAGTCGATGAATTTTATAGGAAGCCACATCATTAAGGAAAAAACTATAGTAGTAGTATTATTATTATACATCCATCCAACTATTGTCCTCCTCTCTCTCTCTCTTCGTAAAATATGATGAGTGGAATAGCAAACACCATCTCTTCTCTCTCCTTCGAGTCCTGCGTTGGAACCTCAATGCAAACTACTTTTGGAGAACACCTCGGTAAAGATAAAAAAGAAAGTTTCTGTTGAACACACACAGTGTCAGCGTGCATGAACTACTGAAGAACCGCGAGAACTAACAAGAAACTTTTAGGTTATACATTGGATATATTGTGTAATCTTGTTATGCTTTGCATGGGTTTTAGGATCTCATTGGGGCAAGCGTGGATCTTGATGCCGTCCATCCACGTTCTCTTACATGAATTTAGTGCATGAGTTGACACTGGTCGATGACATGCTCCTCCTACGATGAGACCAGCGAAGAGTTTGCAGCCATTCATACTGTCTATAGATCGGAATACAGAAAGATTGTGGTAGATTTTTTTGTGATATCCCGTCTTATAAGATGAAAATGCTGATGACAATTGTTGGTGAACTTTTACGTCGTGATCAGCGACACTCAAGTGACGAGAGCAAGCGTGAGTCGGGTGGAGTTCGAGTTCCGCTTCTTGAGCGCAATCTGCACCCTCAGCGAGTGGTCTGCTTCTTTGTCGTCAGGTTCCTGTACACGGGACGAGGACGGGAGAGGGATTTCCTAAATCGACCCCTCTGAAGCTTAAGTGTGAAAAAAAAGAAGAGTTCCATGGAATGAGCAAGCCCCCCATATTGTCACGACCTTAGC